TTAGTTTTCAACTGGTTTGCAGAAAAAAAAAATATGTTAGGAACTCACCTAGGCAAATAGAAGTGTGTATTTTATGGATAAGTACTGTAATCATGTATTTGTTACTTGGGAATAAAAACAAACAACATCTGCATAATAGAACTGTTTACATATCTTAATGCAAATGTGTCAGTATCTCCTCCTGGCTTTTATATGACAGTCAGCATACATCTTAGGTCCAATACATCACATTTTATACCACTTATTGTTTAAACAGTTTTGACATTTTAAGTAATCCATATTAGCATAGGGAATCACTAAAAGAACCCTTGAGTGCACTTCACAGTATTTTAAAGAGGTCAAAATTATTAACATCTACCAGAAAGAAATAATGCAAAACTGATCACTCTATAGATTCTGAAAACATGAGACACTAGCCTCACCGTTCTAGAAATCATTTCTACTGGAAGTTAAAGGATTAGACTGACGTGTATTTCCCAAGCTACATCTGTCATAACAAGTTTAAAAAAGCAACCAGCCCACTGAGCAAGAACTGGCACTTTGGGAAATGGCTTAAATAGCACTGAGCCCTCAACTAGCAGTTCTATGCTTATTATATATTTGACTAGACTCAAATCAGGAACCTTTTTCCTGTCCCCTTAACATTTGACTTTAAGATTATTAAAAAACAAAAAAACCTAAAAAAACATGTATTGAGAATTCCTCACTATACCAGAGATTTCAGGACATTAGTGCTATGGACAGCAAAAGGACGGGAGCACAGAGCCAGCAGTAATCTTCCAAAACTGAGTCACAAAGACAAAGGGGAAAAAGGGACCCCACAGGGGCCCTTGCCACTGCCCATGTCTCAGTCTTCTCTCACTGAATATCACAATTAGGGCTTTTCCACTCTTCTGATTGCAATTTCCACCTCATCTACATTTTTTAAAAGATTTTACTGCTTGTGTGCCTAATGCTCCTTATGTAAACATATCTACTAATTCAAGTCATTACCTGTGCCTCAAAGTGTGACTTAGGAGACCTTCAACAAATGAAAGTCTAACACTGGAAGGGACCATATATTTTATCATATATTAAGCTGCAGTTGTTTTCAGCACTTTTTAAAAAGCAGACTAAACAAAACAACTCTTTGGACCCTTAAAATTCTCCAGTGGAAGAACTCATAAAGTACAGATTTGACATCTAAGAAAGAGTGCCTACACCCTTAAGAGATAATCCACAGAAAACCAACATTATAATCTATCTTCATTTCATGGAACCTACATAAAAGCTAGGAAACCAGCTGGAAAAAGGGAAAAGAAGCAGCTCTTCCCATCCTACAGAAAAGTTGCTGGATTCCTCTACAGGTTTCCTAGAATTGCTTCAATCCCTGTGAATCATAGGATGGTTTGAGTTGGAAGGGATCTTAAGGCTCATCCAGTTCCAGGCCACCTGCCATGGGCAGGGATACCTTCCACAGGCCAGGCTGCTCAAAGCCCATCACACTGCCAGGGATGGGGCATCCACAGCTTCTCCAGGCAACTGTGAAGCAGCAAGGGCTCTAAGCAGAGACATCTAGGCAGACAATAAATTTGTTACAGCGAAGTGAATAGCACAATCTGACTCCTTACCAGATTCTACACAACCTATGAGATATTCAGACTAGAACAGCTCAGCTGGGAGAGACCTACAATAATCATCTAATCCAGCTGTCCACCAAGTCAGGGCTGACCAAATATTTCCTAAATACACAGAAATTACCTGACCAAAGACTGTAGCTATACAAACCCAGAAAGTCCCAAGTACAAAGCACAGAACTTCTTTCCTTCAGTCACAGTTTCCCTTTCCCATATCAGAGCACTTGACTCAAAGATAAAAATTATCAAAAAACCACAAAAAACCACCACTTACAAAAAACAAAATCAAAACAAACAAGCAGAAACCAAATAAAAACAACAAAATAAAATAAGCAAACAAAACCACACACACACACATAAAAACTCCAAACAAAAAAGCCAAAACCCCATCAAAAAGTCAAGCATTCCAGTAGAACAAGTAGTCTCTGCTTCTGCCCTGGGACTGCACTTCTCAGATCACACTCCTGAGCACCTGTGCCTTGCCAGCCAGCTGCATCTGTCCCTGGATGGCATGGGAGCAGATGGGCTGAGGAAGCAGATTGACTCAGGAATGAAAGCCTGGCAGCAATGCTGCACCAGGGCTGTAGGAATGTACGAGCAGGAAGCAGCATTTTAAAGACTTTCCAGAAAATTTCCAGGATGAACACAGTGCTCACAGTACATCCCTGTGAAATAACACAAATTGTGATTTAGATCTCAGCACATGCAGGCTGCTGCCCTTTGAGCAGACACTCAGCTCAACCCCATGGCTGCTGCAGCATCTCTGATGTGGCACAGGGGTTTGGATGTGCAGCTGTGTGACAGCCTCACAGCAGACAGGCTCACTGCTGATGACATGCTCATCAAGACACGTCCTGCTATCGGTACTTTACTTTTTTCAGTTCTCTATTAGCATGCATGTAGAAAGGAAAATCATTAGAAAAGCTTTTTTTTTTTTAATGATTTTTGAGCAACTTCATTCAAACTCAATGCAATGGAGCCATAGTAAGATAACCTAGCTTACCTTGAAGCACTCTATGGCTTCAATTCAACAAGTCTCATCAGTCAGAAAAACCTCAGTTGCTGTGAACACCAAGGTAAAGATTCTCTTGCTCTACCTCACAACTCCAGAAAGAGCAATAACCCCATACACCAAACAAACAGAAAGAAAAAAAAAACAGGACTTAAAAAAAAATCCTCATAAATCATAATATTTAATATCCTATGTTCAAGGACATTTTAGGGGAAAAAACATATTAGGGAATACTCATTTTTGGGAAAAGAAGTGAAATTGCACTCACAGAAATCCATTTCCTTCACTAGTCTACAGCTGCATCTTTACAGACCAAAATATGTCTATGTTACATGACTCATTTTTATATTTCATTTGCAGAAACAAAATTACACAGAACATGCATGTCCAAAATGTCATAGACAAGAAACAAATGAAATAGAAAAGAACCTCATCTCTGAAATCTACTACAAGTGAAAACATACAAGTTGTTTTGGTGAAGAAATCTTACTTTCACCATTCCTTTCAATGAAAAGAACAAGCAAAGGCAATGTACATGTCCTGCACAACTGAGTAAGTGCCATTCCGGGTAAACACAAAGTCCAAGAGGATTGCCCAAGGCAAATCAGAACAAAACTCTATGCAAAACCTGACAAATCCATCTATTTAATAAAGTTAATTATTAGACTTAATGTTGTTGAATCCATGAGACTCCCAGGAGCTGAATTTTGTGTTTAATAAAATAAAATAGACTTTTTAAAAAAGTGAAACACGGGCACCTACAATGTGCTTTTCCATTCCCTGAAATCCCAAAGCATTTCATATGCCCAAAAGACTGGTGACTGGGAGATGAAACATAGTTAAGTATCATTAAATTCTATTATTAGCTTTTCAGGAAGGCTAATTACAAGACTGCCAACCCAAAATGTCATGGAGATTTCTCTGATGTAATCATCTAGCACCCAGGAAATGAATGGAAACTACCAATCCATCTTGCTGACACATATTAGGAAAAAAGACATGTTCAACATGAATATCTGACATAATCTTTATAGCTTTCCAAAGCAAACAAAAGAAATAGAATTAAAAGCAAGACAAACATCACAAAAAAAAACCCCAACAAAAATTCCCTTTTAGAATCTCAACAGTATTTAGGGGTTCAAAAGAACAAACAGATAAATAAAGCCGTCAAGTAATTGATGTTCACATCAAAGGAACCAAACAAAGCCAAAATGCTACATAACAAGTTTTGCCAAATGAAGAGGTTCAATCCCTTGGGGGAAAAAAAAGAAATTTAAAAAGAGAACCAAGTCTCAATACTAAGGCTGACCCTGACCACAAGGTTTTATGTCTGATACCATCTGAGATCTCATGATGCTACAAAAGCAGAAATTGTGTCTGGGATTATCATAGTATTATCCAGATGAGGCTTTTTGTACTCCTATTTTGTTACATTTTCCTGAAAAATAATTACTGTGATAAAAAAATAATTGCTATCTCAAAAGGCCTTTTCTTACTGCATTTTTAAGAATTATTCTAATGCTTACAGATGATTAAAATAAACTCTTTACATGGGCTTTCTGCATGTGTAACTGTGCATGCACCTCGTAAACCTACATGTAATCCATCCCCACTAGTCAAATGTCCCCCTCTAGGTCTTTCCTTCTCAGTACGGTCAGGGATCACTGAATGATGTTAATGCCCTCGTTATCTGGCAACACAAAGAGTACCTTCAACAGCTTGAAAGGAATCTCATTGCTTTTCCAAAAAGCTTTCTCTTGGCTGTTTTCCAAAAAAAGATCCCCAAAGCAAATCGATTAAATAAATCGCTTTTTAGACACACCTGTTTAACACTGACTGATGGAAGATCATATTCAATTAGAGACACAGGTTTCGTTTGCACACACATCAGTTACTGTGATACACGGGGACAACTAAATCACGTAAAACTGCTCCCTGCTCTTTGCACGTACCAGTTGACTTTTAGAAAATAAAACTGACAGAGGGGTTTTCTAATTAGTAGCGGGTGCCACATCAGTAAGTGGTTGCTAAAAACCGGATTTTCCTCAGGCTGCCCGTCTATCTGCAAGCGACGCGCGTTTCAAAAAAGAAAAGAGAATTTTTTACCAAAAGGAGTCGCACGGGGTTGGAAATAGAGGCACTGGCAGTTACATAAACCGGTGCTAAAAATAAACTTGAGAGGCGCGGTGGGCACGGTGGGGCAGGGGCTGGGGCCAGCAGCGCTGCCCGCCGGGGCCGAGCCGCAGTCCCGGCAGCGCGCAGGGTCCCCGCCCGCCGGGCCCGGCTCGCCGGCGGCACCGCTCCGGCCGGGACCCGCGGCCCGGCCCGGCCCAACAAGTCACCGGAGAGCGGACACGGCGGCCCCTGCTTACCACCAGCACGGGCACGCCTGCGGTGAGCGAGTAGAGGAGCACCGGCGGCACGGCGCTGCGGTCCTCCGGGCCCGGGTAGGGCTTTCGGTACGCGCCCTCGTAGCAGAAGAAGCCTTGCACGTTGACGGTGAAGGTGTCCGTGTACTCGAAGTAATAAGCCAGCATCACGGTCCCTGCCATGATCACCATCTGGAAGTAAAGCATGCTGGTGAGCGAAGAGGGCACTCGCATGTACGTGGGCTCCGGCGGCCGCGGCAGCCCCTGTGCCCGGCGGCGCGCTCCGCCCGCTCCCCGGCGGCATCCACCGCGGGCGGGGGCGGCTTAGCGGCGGCCGGGAGCGCGGTCAGCCCGGCGGGGAGGGCGCCCGGGGCAGGCCAGGCCGGCGGGACAGGGCAGGGCAGGGCACCGGGGGCCCGGCCCGCCGCTCCGGCAGCGGCTCCAGCGCGGGCAGCGCTCGTGCGGCGGGCGGGCGGATCGTGGCGGAGGCAGGGCCGGCCCAGCCCCGCCCCGCCCCGCCCCGCCCCGCCCGGGGAGCAGCGGCCGCGCCGGACCCGGCGGAGAGGGGAATTGCTCGAAGCCTGGAGGGCTCCCACGGCTCAGGCCCCCGGCCGTGATTCCTAAGGGAGCCCTCCGCGCTTTCCCAGGGGGCGGGGACCACCGTGGGTCCCTCTGTGCCCCGACACACGCACCTGTACGACGGGCGTGCACAGGACGGGAGCTCCTGCAGGTGCACGCCGTCCTTCCCCTCAGAGAGCCGACGGGAAGCGGCCCCAGCATTGCCCACAGGCACAGCTTGGGCAGGCACGGGGATCGCCGCTGTTGGCCGAGGTGGGAAAGACCTCAACATGGAATCATAGAAGCGCAGCATCAGCTAGGTTGGAAGGGAGCCCTGAGATCATTGAGTCCAGCCTATGGTCTAACACCACCATGTCATCTAGGCCACGGCACTAACTGCCACATCCAAGCTTTCCTTAAAGACCTCCATGTATTCTTGTGTGATTCTGTGATTTTTACAAGAAAATCATTCTTCATTTTTGCCCTATGGTTTGCCTGACGTTTTTATGGTAGCAGTTTTGGACATACATTGTAGTTACATGTTAACAAAAGAGTCCATCAAAAAGTTTCATGTTAGATTCCTTAACAAACCCTCAACCCAATAACTTTAGTGTATTTATTTATATTAAGAAACCTGTCAATACATAACGCATATCCTGAGCATATCTGTTTGTTAGGGTCATCAGATATGTGAAATACATTTGACTTAGACAATCAACTTGTGCTCTGGCTCATTTCTGGCCACAGTAGAAGTTCCCCACAGTCCTACGACTACCCACCCTGACTACCCAATCCTTCCAAAACTGGGAATTGAAATACATAGTCTTTTGTATTTGGACAGCTATGAAAAAAATTAACACTTAAAGCTTTTATTTAACAGCTATAAAGAAAATTGGTAGCTGGCCTTGAATCTATTCTCACTCAAGTAATATCCTGAGTAAGAGAAGAGTCTGCACCAGTGCTCAGAGAAGTCATACACATAAGAACACAAAAGAGTTCTATTTAAAAATACATACACGGCAATACACATGAGAATAGACAACTGTGCCCAAGGCTTATACAGATTCACGCATGTGTGGGTTCTAGTCTGGATTCCCAGAGCCAACAGATAACATAGTTACTTAAAGGTACACCCCAAATATCACAAGGGTGGAAAACACCCTTAATGGACACTTCAACCACAGAGTCCACTTATCTTACACAGTAAAGGCGGTAAGAAATAAAGAATAAGATTAGATCACCTTGTTTTATAATGAGTAATCATTCTTGTGTCGTACTTTGGCTTTAACTGTTCATTTTCCTCCCTTTTTTGAGAATTTTTTTCAATATTCACTGATGTTAGTCTCTGTGCATTTATTTTTAATCAGCCCTTGAAGAACATGCTTTTCATGTCTGGATTCCACATCTAGTCTATTTTTATGTGCTTTTAACACACTCTCCAGAAGAATCTAAATCATGCACTCACACTGCACTCACCAGACTTATTAGCTGGATAGCTCCCTACCTTTTTGAAAAATCTGTAGTGAGACATGAGACATCTTGTGGTGAATTCTGCCTAGCACAAATTTTATTTTCCCCATTTATTTAGCATAGTCTAATGCACATTACCATACATATAAAAATCATAATCCTGGAAACTGCATACAGACACCCTCATTGTTAGGATGTATGGCCTGATACAAAGACAAAAGTCAACAGCCAGACTGCACTGAGCACAAGACTCAGCTCTTCAGTTCTGTTTGAGTTCATGCCCCATAGAAATGCTAGTGGCATATTTCTTTCAGAAATTTGCATTGAGGAAAATCCATGTTTTTCCAGAAACCAGCTGATAAAATAGTCCTGCATTTTGCTATCACAAACCAACTTCTGCATATAGATGCACCAATGTACCACAGTTAGCTGATCAAATAAAAGCAGAGATAGCTTTTTATTATCATGAACATCATGTTTACTGCCTGCACAGTTGAATATGCAAACATATATTAAATCAAACATATAGAAGCATAAGAACACAATCCCCAGTGACTACTGCAACCAGCTAAATATATGCTGCAACCACAGCGATACGCAGAAGAATGGCAGAGAAAAGCCCAGAACCCACAATTTTTGTTTCAGAAGCCTATTCATACATTAAATTGTTAGCTGAAACTCAGATAACAGACAAACTTGTTTTGAAATTAACTTGCTTGGGAATAGTGCCACTGATCTCAGATTAAGAGTTGCCCTGATGCTCCTCATAGCTTTATCTTGTTCTTTTCATTTGCTACCTAATTTTAAGTGAATTTTCAGCTCAGGAGACACCATGTAGAGCAGGGCAGACAAAGAGAAACCTTAGACACACTATTTTGCAATATTCTGAAATCATGACCTTTATTACAAAGAGGTATTTCCAATTCCAAACCATGTGCTTACATCACCACTGCTTATTGCATTTTCTAGTTATAAAACATTGCTCTGGCAAATGGCAGTAAAGAAACAGAGCCAACCCAACAAAGTCTTCTCAATAGGAAGGAAAATAAGAATTGATATCAAATCATCTCACTATTTTTATCTTTCCTGTTTACCTCTTTCATGCTTTTTCAGAGGGTCAGCCGCTCGAAGCCCTGACTGTTTCACTTACATCTCCACACTGCTTCCCTAATACACTAACCCAGCCCTTTCTGAGAGGAATATTGCATCTGTGTTGTTGGCACAGCAGTAGGGAAGACACAGAATGAACTGTAATCTCTACTGATATTTTTAAGAGATAGCTAAAAGGACATTTTAATTTAAATTATCCTGTAAAGAAACCCAGGACATTTACTGCTAAATTTATGTTTGTAGGACCATGATAATGCAAGATAAAAATAATTCCCTAGCAGCTGGAGCAGCATCAGCACAGAATCAGAAAAGGGGGCTCGCCCAAAACACTTGTAGTGTGATTCAAACAAGTTAGGGACCAGATTTAAGTTTTTCCTATGGGCTTAATATGTAGTTCACAGAGACAACTCCATTAGGTGATTAAGCTTTACTACATTAGGGCAGGATGAATCATCTTTTGAAAATGTCATTCATTACATCCTAAGAAATACCAGCCTCTTATGATACCACTTGTAAGACTAATGACACAAGCTTTGGTGACTAGCTTAGACTAGCACCCTTCTTTTAAAGGGCTGTAGTGAGATGTCATCCATTCTGCTCTTAACTTTCACTTACACATAGATAAACTAGCTCCAAAATAGGAATTAAGTTTTCCAAGATTCAAACAGGGAGAAAAATGGTCAAACTAGTAGCAGCATAAGTATTACTGTTGTATTTATATTGCAGTATTATGTAGAGCTGGACCATATTTTTCACAGAAGACAAGATTTTGCCCCGGTAAGCTTGGGTACCTCATATGATGCTGTGCAAGTAATATGAGAGAGTGAGCAGATGGAGATGAAACAAATGAAGAGGAGGACAAGGCACCAATGAAATGACTGAGTTAGATATAATGAGCAGCAGTCACATTAGTTGCCCTGTCAGTATTTACATCAATAGTATAATTGATCTTTTAAAAATTGCTTTCTGTATTCAAATTAAGAAGTATAGTACTTAATAGGTTATAAGAGAAACTTGGGATATCAGAGGGATACAATGTACCTAAGGCCTGTACATTCTCAGAATTAAAGCCTCTATTAGCATATCTACCACTATTTATAATAAAAAAATACAGACACAGTTTTGTCAGTATGAAATTAAATAAATCACTGGAACTTGAAAGTTCAAATAATAGTTATTTAATCTTTCCTAAGATGAATTTAGGAAAAATCCTACCACTCAGAAAATTACTACCACAGCTACAAATTTATTTTCATTGATAGACTCATTTTTGGTAACTCCAATGCTATACAAACTGCCTGTAAACTTGGCAATCTTTGGCATAATTAGCTCAAGAAAAGTCATATAACTAGCCGCAGAATATATAAGTAAGCTACCTCATCTCATTCACCCAGAATTCTTATAATTTCTTGTAATGGAAGAAAGCCACTTCCCAAGGTAATTAATGATACCTTGAACGATTGACATAGCAGATTACTGCACAGTATTGGACATAGCACTCGCCTGTTCATGGTGCAGTATTCAAGCGGGGGAAAAGGAAAAATCACACAGACCTACCCTGTGTAGGACACTGTATGTATTCATACAGCTGATTTTGTACATAATCTAAAATTAGTTCAGACATTTGAACAGTGCCTGAAGGTTTTACAGACCAGTTCAAAAACTCTCTTTACATATTACTGAAATTAATTTTGTTAATTTGAATATGACAGTTTTCTGCACTGTAGTTTGCCTTCTCCTTTGTACATTTTTATTGTAAATACTGTGACTAATTAAGATAGTGTATTGGCTAAAGATTCTGTACTGCCGTTAAGGGGATACACAGAAAGTAAATGTTTGCCCACTCCTCATATTGTCAGTGTAAAACTCTCAGCAAGCTGAAAACCCAGAAGCGTGAAGGAAGAAAATGGTGAGCTCACCAAGACCTTTCTGGGGTACCTTATGCTCATCCTCAGTTTAGCTGCCTATAGAAACTGGACCCTAGAAGTCCCCAGTGTTTCTTCAGATACTAGAGAGATATTGCTCAAGGATCTATGAACAACAGCTGAAGTTAC